ATGAATGTAAAACTAATGTTCTCTCATGTAAACTATCACATAATTCACAATAAAACATTTTTAAAAAGTTAATTAAATGTTATTGTGAAGTGTTGTTGAGTCAGTTCTGACCCATAGTGACCCTTTATAGGGTTTCCAAGGAGTGAGCTTGAACCGCTGACCCTGTATTTCAAACTGACTTTGCAGTTATTGTTGTTGTTAAGTGCCATCGAGTCGGTTCCGACCATAGCGACCCTGGATAGGGTTTCCAAGGAGCAGCTGGTGAGCTTGAACCACCGACCTAGCAGTTCAAACGGCTTTACAGTCTGGCGCATTAACCCACAGCGCCACACCAGGACTTTGCAGTACAGGGAATGAATTCACAGTGCCACAGTAGGACTCCAGACCAAATATACAGCAAGCTAATTTTTACATTAATAATTTTGTATGGCCCGCAGATGATGTTATAAATTTTGGAAAAAAACAGGTTCCCCACACCTGCTTTAGATTGTGTGAATCATGACAAATTATGGAAGTATGGATAACATTTCAAAGAATGGGTATTCCAGAACACACAATTGTGCTCATGAAGAACCTGTACATAGTCCAAGAAGTAGTCATTTGAACAGAACAAGGGAATACAAAATGATTTAAAAATCAGAAAAGGGTTGTATCCTTTCTCCATACTTACTTATTCGATCTATATAGTAATTAATCCCCCAAGCAGGATTCTATGAAGATGAACATGGCATCTGGATTGCAGGAACACTCATTAACAGCCCGCAATATGGAGATGATACAACCTTGCTTGCTGGAAGCAAACGTCTTTATAGTCTGAAGAAAAGACTATAGCCTTCAGTATGGATTGCACCTCAATGTAAATAAAACAAAAATCCTCAGAACTGGACTAATAAATAGCATTATGATAAATGGAGAAAAGACTGAACTTGCCAAAGACTTCATTTTGCTGGGATCCACAATCAACATTCATGGAAACAGAAGTCAAGAAATCAAATAAATCTGCTGCAAAAGACCTCTTTAAAGTGTTAAACAGTAAAGATATCAGTTTAAGGACCAAGGTGTACCTGACCCACGCCATGGTATTTTTGATCTTATATATGTGTGTAAAATTGTATAATGAATAAGGGGGCAAGTAGAAGAATTAACACATTTGAATTATGAAAAAGAATATTAAAAATGCCAAGGACTGCCAGAAGTACAGCCAGAATGCTGCCCAACTGCTCTACCAGGGCTCTTTTATTTACCATATGACCCAACAATCCCAACCCTAGATATCGACACAGGAGCATTTAAAAACTATGTCCACGCAAGGATTTACCGAGGAACATTCACAGTGATACTATTCACTTATTTAAAAGCAAAAAAAAAACCACGTGAAATAATCTAAATTTCTATCAACTGCTGAGTAGATCAAGAAAGTTTACATTTATATTAAATATGGATGAACCTCAAAAACATACTAAGTGAAAGAAGACGGATCCAAAATATTACATATTGTATGATGTGATTGATATGCAACACCATAACAGAAAGTAGAACAATGGTTGGGGGGGTTGGGGTAGATGCAAATCGGTGCAGGGATCTCTTGGGGGTAATGCAAGTGGTAGTTTCACAACCCACTGAAGTGTACACACTTATAGTGGGTGAATTTATGGGGTGGGAGTCCTAGTGTGACGCAGTAGCGTAAGCACTGGACCACAAGACCGGTTTGAACTGCAAGGCTGGTGGTTCAAACCTACCAGCTGCTCCTAGGAAATCCTATACAGGGTCACTATGAGTCAGAACCAACTTGACAGCACTTCACAACAATTATACTTAGATAAATCTGTTTGAACAAAGAAAGAAATGTAGTCACTTACCATTGTAGCCTTCAAGAACAGAATCAATAATAGGCCTTGCAGTTAAGTTATAAACATCAAGTTGTTTACTCTCTGGTCCAAAAACTGTATCAAAAGTAAACGTCTTTGGCGGTTCATTGAAAGAATCAGTCTTGTGTACGGTGATGGTTCCCCTCATCTCATCCACACTGACGGCCTGCTTGTAACACATGGATTTCTCTCTCTCATTGAGGGGCCGGCACCTAACAACGACCTTCACATTATCACAGCTTTCTGGCTTCTCGGATTTGTTGATCTGGTATAGAAATACAAACATAAAAGAATACTTTTTTACCCTCAACAGACTAAATTCACCATTTCAGAAGGGCTACTTTGCCATCTCCATGCTTTACACAGATTAAGCGTTCCATCAATATTTGCTAAATGCAATTAAGGATCTTAGAGATACAGAGCAAAAGCTTATTAGAAGAAAAAAATGACTTTTGTAATACAAAAGGGGAAAGAAAAATCTAATTTACATATGTAATAAATTCTATTCAAACATAACATGAACCAATATATTTTATTTCTACACAAGAGTCTTACCTGTCAGAAAACATGTGAACATGGTTAGCAACTTAATTCAAGAGTATGCTGTATTCCTTGAGATTTTTATTTTTTATAATACGTGAGTAAAATGTTTTTATATCATATCATATCATGAGACTCAACAGTACTTAACAATTTATTGGTCGGGTTGTGAGGATTTTCCTTTTCTTTACATTGCGGTACAAATCCACACTGAAGGCTGTTGTCTCGGATCTTCATTATATGTCAAGTCCTCTTTCCTTCTAGCAAGCAAGGTGTGTCATCTGCATGTTGCAGACTGTTAATGAGTCTTCCTCCAATCCTGATGCCACATTCCTCTTCATATAATCCAGTTTCTGGGATTATCTGCTCAGCATACAGATTGAAAAAGTATGAAACAAGTCCATAACCTTGGTGTGTGCACACTTTCCCTGATATTAAACCATTAGCATCCTCATTATGTTCAAACCACTGCCTCTTGGCTCATGTACTCTTGTGCTCTTCATGAGCACAATTAAGTATTCTGGAATATCCATGCTTGACAATGTTATCCATCATTTGTTATGATCCACACAGTTGACTGCCTTTGCAGAGTCAACAAAGCACAAATAAACATCTTTCTGGTATTCTCTGCTTTCAGCCAAGTTCCATCAGACATCAGTAATATCCCTTATTCCACATCTTCTTCTAAATGTGGCTTGAATTTCTGGCAGCTCCCTGTTAATGTACTGCTGCTAACCACTTTAAAATTATCTTCAGAAAAATTTTACTTGCACATGATGTTAATGATATTTTTTGATAATGTTCACATTCTGCTGGGTCGCCTTTCTTTGGAATGGCCACAAATATGAATGTCTTCTAATCGGCTTACAAGCTGTTTTCCAAATTTCTTGGCACAGATGAGTAAGTGCCTCCAGTACTTTATCAGTTTGTTGAAACATTCCAATTTGTATTCCATCAATTCCTAGAGCCTTGTTTTACATGAATGCCTTCAGTATAGCTTGGACTTCTTCCTTCAGTACCATCAATTCGTGATCATATGCTACCTACTGAAACTGTTGAACATCAACCTACTCTTTTTGTTTTGTTTTTTAAGGTTTTTATTGTAGATTGAGTGAAAGTTTACAGGGCATATCATCAGTTTTACATTCAACAAATCATATACCTTGTTTCATTACATTGATTATAATCCCCTCCATGTACCATCAGTTAACAGTGTTTCTCTCTATTCACTTTAGCTTTTTAAAAAACAAAAACAAAACAAAACAAAGGATATATAATAATTTACATCTCCAAAGAGCATATTCTGCAAGTCTGCTCCTGGCCACCAGCTCTTAGTCCTTTTCTTCTTAGTCCATGAATCTAGAGTCCTCAGTCGCTCCCCCTCTCCATGCCCCCATCTCTGCCTCCACCTCTGGCACTGCTGCTTCTCTGGATAAGGTCCCGTATTCTGCTTGTGCAGTCCTCTCTTGATGGTCCTAGGGTCCTCTGTTTCTGGACTGTAAGATTAACCACTCCCCCTTTTTTTTGTTACAAAACATCTACCTTTACAATTGTGACAGTCACGATTAGTTATGATAACAATTATTCACTACTGAATCTTACGAATCTTATCCCCATCTCTTTTCACCAGACCCATCTAGACATGATGACAGCTATTCTGTGGGGACTCTTTCTTTCCCCTCATACTCTTAAACTAAACTACCACTTGAAACCTTGTAAGCCTTTATTGCCTCATTTTAGGAAGCCAATGTCTAAGTTGCCTGTCCCTATCTACCCTGTGTACAGAGGGGATAGCACTGATACTTGATTTGGAGACTCTTTCTCTCTCTGTTGGTATTTAGAGTAACTACTGCTCTGAGTATACGTCAGGTTCATCATGAAGATGCATCTTCTGTCACTGTATCTGTTCCAGTCTGCTTGTCCTTTCTGGGAATGTCTCACCTCATAAGGTTCTGGAGGGGACTTAATCTTCAAGCTGACATCTTTGCTTTTCAACACTTTAAAAAGGTCTTGTGCAGATTTGCCTAAGGCAACGTGTCGTTTGATTTCTTGACTGCTGCTTCCATGACTGTTGATAGTTGATCCAAGAATGAAGTCCTTGACAACTTCAACCTTTTCTCCATTGATAAGAATGTTGCTTCTTGGTCCAGTGGTGAGGATTTTTTTTTTTTTTACATTGAGATGCAATCCATACCGAAGGCTGTGCTCTTTGATCTTCATCAGTAAATGTTTTAAGTCCTCTTCACTTTCAGCAAGCAAGGTTGTATCATCTGTATATCGCAAGTTGTTAATGAGTCTTCCTCCAATCCTGATGCCACATTTTTCTTCATACACCCCAGCTTCTGGGATTATTTGCTCAGCATACAGGTTGAAGAAGTATGGTGAAAGAATGCAACCCTGTCACCACCACTCATATGTCAGTTTGTCGTACTGTGATTCTGGAAGCCATGCCACCAGTATTTTAAATACCAGCCGAGACTCATGGTGGACAGGTTTCAGATGAGCTTCCAGACGAAGACAGACTAAGACAAATGAATGACTTACTACTTCTGAATATTCAATCACTGAAAACCTTATGAATAGCAGATAATCACCATGTGGCTGGTGCCTGATATATACTGAATGAATCAATAAATAACTTGAAAGCAATAACAAAAATCAAATATTGAACATTTAACATTGTCAATCACTGCCATTCAAGTCTTATATGCATTATTTTATTTCATCATTATAATAACCCATAAATAAAGTTTAAACATGAAGAAACTGACGGCCCAGACATACTAAATAATTGTTCAAGACCTTAGTCCTGGAACAAGCAATAATTTTTCAAACCAGGTTTTCTCTAAGACCCTATACTGGATTTGCAATGTTCCCTTATTACATGCACGATAACAATCTTGGGAAATCCTACAAGATGAAACATGCTGTCCTCCATACCAGTTACCTCAATTCACACACAAAGACACCTACAGGTTACATTCTGCACTGTAAGCTAAAGCACCACAGAGGAATGACAACCTACGAGAGTAAGAGTCAGGGCCCAGGAGTAAGGGCAGGTGGTCTTACTTTGCAGCATTCCGGAGTTTGGTTCTGCAGTGCAAAAATCGCACAGGATGCGGAGCATGTAAACATATCCTTGGCGGCCGCCCCCCAATGTCCTTCCCAGTGAGCTGGGTCTGGGAGCCAGAGCGCATCTTCCAGCACGGTGCTTTTATGCGAAGCAGCGGAGGCCCCGCAGGATGCGGCAATGACAAAGACGGTTAGGCCTGCTCCGAGTCTTTTACAGGGCCAACTGGACCACAGTGGTACCCAGACGCACCCGCCAAGCTTCCCTAACACGCGGGCCCGCAGGGAACGGCCCTGCCCCGCCCCGCCTGGGCCGCCCGCCTGCCCCGCGCCTCCATAGCAACGGTCGCGCCCCCGGACCAGGCCGCTAGGATGAGGAACTCCAGTGGCCGAACGACTCTCCTCACCGGCATCGTGGTCCCTTCTCGTGCCCGGAGGACGTCCTTGTCTTCGGTGTAGCCAAACGACGTACGGTTAGCGGGAGATCCCAGGCAGAGACTACTGAAACACCTCCTCGGCTGTATCGAGACTGCGGCTTCTCGGACAAGAGCGCACATTGCGCAGTCGCACCCCGAGCTCGCCCCTCCCCATCCCCGGGCCGCAGGCTCCCTCCGCCTATTGAATACGCCTGCGCGTAGGCTTTTACAGTCCGTCTCCTAGGACGCCGGACGGAGGTCGCGCCTGCGCAATGTTACTATTCCGTTGCGGTAGAAAACTACCCAGCCCTGGCTAGGAGAACCCAGTGGCCCAGGATTAGGAGGAGGTGCTCCCAAATAGCAAATCCGTTGCTGTTACCTGTAATACTGAAAATAACGATAGTAAATTGTATATTGAGGCTGTATGGTACCCCAGCTCGAGAACTAAATATATAAATAAATAAATATATAGATATTTATAAAATCTCCCTAAATTGCTGATATTTCTTATGACTCGTGAACAGAGATGCTAACCGCAAAGTTAGCAGTTCGAATCCACCAGCCACTCAGCTGAAGAAAAATGAGACTTTCTGCTCCCATAAAGATTTACAGGTGGTGGTGGTGGTGGTTATGTGCCCTGGAGTCAGTTCCGACTCATAGAGACCCTGCATAGGGTTTCCGAGCCTGTAAACCTTTGTTGTTGTTGTGTTGTGCCGTGGAGTCGGTTCTGACTCATAGCGACCTTGTACAGGGTTTCCCAGGCTGTAAATCTTTACAGGAGCAGAGAGCCTCATCTTTCTCCCGCGGAGAAGCTGGTAGTTTCGAACTGCTGACCTTGAGGTTAGCAGCCCGACTGGTAGCCACTACGTAGGGTTGCCATGGGTCAGTCCGACTGGAGGGCACGCAGAAACAGCAGAACAAAGTATGATTTCAGTACACATTTGTGAGGGGAAAAAAGAACGATTCTTTCCAGTCCAAACCTCTCCCGTGAACACCAGAATTTCACATCTCCTGCCTACTGTACATCTTTACTTGGATGTGTAATAGGCGTTTCAAGTTTGGTTGTGTTCCCTGGAGTCTGTGCTGATTTATAGTGATCCTGTGTAGTTTCTGAAGCTGTAAATCTTAACGAGAGCAGAAAGCTTCATCTTTCTCTTGCGGAGCAGCTGGTAGATTCGAACTTATGACCTTGATGTTGGAAGCCCAACGCGTAACCTACTATGCCACCTTCGCG